ACCTAAGTGACAGCCAAAAGACAGATTTACTTATTCTAGTTTCTGAGAATTCAACGGTGCAATTTCAGCCACTGTAATACATATATATATCTGCTTTCAGGACCAGTCTACAAAAACTTGGAGCCGATAAGGTGGAGAATATTAGCAACGTCAACAAAGGCAATTTCGTCGCCATGTTCCCGCTGTAACACTGTCACAAACATCCCTATTCAAATTGTTCACCACAGTAAAAAAAATATAAACGTCCAAAGTTTGATGTAAGCTTTCCTAAATCCTGTCTCTCTTTCAGAAAATTTTATGCGAACTTTTACTTTGGCTGGATGTAGAATATGATAAATAACGATGCATACATAACACGTTATTTTATTCTCTTTTTTGTATGTGTCTGTTATTTTGTAAATAAATTTCGATGTATTATTACCCTCACTACACCTCCATACTCTATTTCGCCAATCAGTGAGAATACATTATACAAATATATGTATACTTAAATATATAATAACCCAATACGTTGTCCACATATATATTGTGTAACAGATGTATATATCCTTAAATCTAGACAAAATAAAGTTCTCTCTTATCATCTCTTGCAGTATGTAAGATTTGTCTTTCCACAATAATGAGGAAGTTCTTCTTCGCCTTGCGCCTTGAAGACTCGAAGTTAAGTGCTCATTTTGGCACTTACCTACTATACGGCGCACAAATCCCAGTACAAAATCACATACTGCAGTATTTAAAAGGGAATTATATTTCCAGATATATCTAGATGAGACCATGTCTCATGCCATATCACCTCTGTGTCTTAGGCATGTAGCATACATGGGACAAGAAGAAATGCTCACAAAATTGTAGCCAGAAAATATTAATTAAGAAGACCACCTGAGAGAGCTGGATGTAGATAGAGGATAATATCAAAACGTAGTTCACATTTCGGGTTCTCAACACATCAATTATGAAAACGAATGTCTTTTGAGATATTGCGATGTGCTTGGTTCACTAATCACAAAACAGAAGAACAACTGAAGTTTTAATATAATCGAATTCGGTATTCTTGTACGACAGTCCGTCAAAAATAATCTTAAATATTCACACTCAAAGAAAAAGACAACAGCTATATCAGTAAACGCGTGCGGAATGTAATAATCACGATTATTAGATCAATTGTGGTAAAAGGGGTTTAGAAATTCCTGCTATTTACTAAATCCACGGAGCACAGTTTATCTTTAAAAAAGATGATAATTGTTCAGCAATTCGGTGTGGCAGATGTAAACTAATGACTGTGCAGCCATGTGTCAGTACCATATATTTTAATTTATTTTAAAACATAAGTATGTGTTCAGATTCACCTTACTGGGTATTAATTAAATAAAGTCTTGGAAAAATAAAATATGCAGGCAACTCAGATTACTCTGATCCAGCAAAACCTGTTTTCCGACGTAAAATATCGCATGTTCTTCAATTCTTAACAATTTTATTATCGATAATAGTTTAACGCGTAAAATTCTTCCTCGAAAAAAAATTAGTTAAAGATAATTCCGTTTCGGATTACTTTGACCCACAATGTGTGTTATAAGTTACCTCTGAACTCATTTAATATGAGCTGGGACAAAGCAGGATTATGGAACTCAGTAAGTATGCACACGCACAGAAAATACGAAAAATTTATTTCTTATACTGATACAATACGACATTAAGAAAGCTGTGAAGTGCAACTGTCAAAATTAGAACAGTATCGTGGTTTATTTAATTTTCTATCAAGTGAATTAACGAAAACAAAATCAGGGGAAACTTATATTACTCGTATTAAGAATGAGAAAAGGCAGAAAAACAAATATTAATTTAATTTCTTCAATAAAATATGCAAACACAATAACGGTATGAATTAAGTCAATTCTAATTCGGTAAATGAGGAAAAACACTTTTCACTGGTTTTCGTCTATTAACCTTTTATTGTATGCCATCTGTAAAACAGATTTTCTTCTGTATATGCCATTTCGAGATTTTCATTTGCAGTTGCTTCGTATTTGAAAGAAATAACTAAATGAAAACCCTGCTACAGGTAAAGTAGAAATACTTCACTATTTTGCTGTGGAACTTATTACCTTTATTTCAAGAATAGTGTCCCGTAATCTGCTGTACAACTATTTACTCCGCACAAGAACAAAAATTAAATAAGGCCTATAAGCAAATACGAATACTACCTTTTACGAATTGAAACCAGCAATTTAACACTGCGGTCGGCTACGAACAAAAAACTTTCCACCTTTTTTTACAACATTTGGTCTGAATGTTATACTGAGTCAACATCTTTAAAATAAAGCCACGAAATAACACTAAAGCAGAATTATGTAACGATGCTCGCTAAACGTATGAAAGCTTAGGTTCAGCACCTAATGTCTCAGCTATGCTAATTGAAATTATTCGTAATTTTACGATTTGTATCCTGGTGTGCGATGAATACAACTTTAAACAATGTTACCGTCTGCACGACCTTTTATTCTACCATAATGCGCTACAGGCTTTGACCTCTTTCGGCCATCTTCTGGTGCATATCTAAAACTCATATGGTATAATAGGTATAAAATCATGCTATGCAATTGCTAACCGACTTATGGATCCACGTGTTGGCTGTGCATGTTATGTGTGTGTGCGCGCGTGCGTGCGAGAGATTGTGTGTCGAATTTTAGGCCGGGGGCATGAGTATTGAACTCATAGCTTCTCTTGATTACATTAATCACTTAACAGCTAAATTTGATAAAATTAAAATTATCAATTGACAGTTAATATTAAATAAGTTTAAATGTTTTAAAGGATGCACTCTGTTCAATAATATGTACTGAATTATTACCGGATAGAGCCTGAATTGTTCAAATGGGCAAGTACTGGATAGACTGCTTTCAAGTGTTAAGATTGTGATGTAATCCCGCGTTGTGGAAAACTTCAACGCATTTTGTTCTAATGCGTGTGGCTGGTCTATTCATCGTAATTCTGTCTATTTCGAATGTAATCGGTAGTATTTTCAATTGTCCATTTTGGTATAAGAGACTTATAAGATAACTGCTTTTACGTTTTCTGTAACGCACAATAAAATTGTGTATGAAACAACTTTTTTTTCAATTACTGTTGTATGTGTTGGATTGTCGATGTCATATTTCGACACGCTACGTACAAAATTACGCTATGGTCTTGTGTTGCAGATGATTACACTTTCAAATAAGTTGAAAGTGTAAGATGTTTTTGTGAAAAATGTCGTACTGAATAACACTATTATTTGTAACTAAGTGAACATACATTTATTTATTATGTTCAAGCAGCTTGTTACCTGCTGGAGATGATCGAAATTGGTAGCTGATACGTGCGTACCCACTCGAATCGACAGTTACTGGTCTGTTATTAAGGTTGGATAACTATGAAGGTGGTGAATGGTATGTCTTCACATCCATGCTGTATATGCTAGATTTTGGAACATTAAATTCGCCCTACATTAACTAAAGACTCCAATATCAAAGTTCATCGAAATATGTTCAGTAGTTTTGGAGATAAATAATGAGGACATAACTCACATTATACGTTACATAATGCTTTTAGACATGTTCTCAGCAGTCTCTCCCATAGATAACCTCTCTCTCTCTCAGAGCACGACAAGTTGCACAGCATTTGGTTCAAGAACTTATTGTCTGCATCGCACAACTTAAAATAATGGAAATTAAAACACGCAAAAAGTCACTCAGAAAAGAACTGAATATTGTAGTGAATTCACTGCCGCAAGAAGAAATAAAGAGGCAATCCAAAATATTGTCACAACAGGTAAGTGGCCGCAGCAGATTGACGTAAAGCTCGTTCGTGGCGATAGTATCGATGACTGTCTTGCTGTATCGAACACGTATCTATCATGGAGTTATTTTATACTCCCTTGTTTGTTTGTATTTGCAGCAATCATTTCACCAACCCTGCGGAATAAAATATGAGCTCCCAACAATAACAAACCAAATTAATCAGTAATTTTATGCTCTTGTGCATTGCGGCAGTGAGTCGTGAAAGCCAGGACATATCACAGCTGAAATGTTACTGCTGGCCAAGGGCAAGAAATACCACAAACTGAATTAATGTGTAGAATACAATGATATTTTGGAGAATCTGCATAGTCCCAAATAGTTGTCTTCTTATTTTGTTAATTTCAACACACACTGAACAGTTATAAACCTGGGTCCTGAATACTGGTCACTCTATTTTGTGAACTTTTATCATTTAGAAACGAAAGTGAAAGTCACTCAACACAAATAAAAAATCACCCAAAATTAAATGTGTTTGGCAGGTTTTACAACATCCTCAGTACATAGATGCCAGATCAGTCTCAATTTATCTAAGTTTTGACAAGGAGATTCAAACTGCAGAAATACTGGAAGACATCTTCAGATCTGGAAAGACCTGCTTCATTCCCAGGTGATGTCCAGATATCCATAACTAATAAAATTAATGAAAACTAAACCAGATACGATAAACCAATTTTAACATTCTTTGTGAAAGTGCAAAGAGTGATGTCTACATGTTTCATCATCAAAATCATATGCAGCAGCAAATTATTTCAGTGCATACAAAAAGGTAATAAATAACAGCACAATACTAAATTTCAGTTATATGTAATTTGCAGCATTGTTCTTTTTTTATTCAGATTCTGTGTTGGAACATCTGAAATGGAAATGATAAAACTTCATTCCTTGGACGATTATGACAATCTGCCAATGAACAAATGGAATATAAAACAACCGCCTGATGATGATAATGAAAGGATTAGCATCTTTGACACAGGTCAGGAACATAATTGTATATGATATTTTGAATTACAACAGTATATCATCATTCAGAAGGAATGTGGAAGGACTATGAATATCATTATTAAAGATGGAGATTCTCTTTGAGAGTTGATTTGGAAGTAGATGCTGAAAACACTAAACAGGATGAAATAAATCACAACATAACAAGTCTTTTGAAAATGTTACTTGACAAAGATACTTCCCCACTTACTGACATATTATAATCACACATTTACATTTTTTTAACTTTCTTTCATCCTCTGAGTATGGTAGCACAATGATATATTTATATTTGTTTTTGTAGAAGGAATTCAAAATAGCATTCAGTCTTAAAAAGAGCATAAGCCATAATCAATAGAAACACAATATTACATCAAGAAGTTCAAACAAAAGTTATACCTTTACATTGACAGCATCTTACAGTACAAATAAAATCCAGTAAAATCTTCTGTATAAAATTTCCAAATTACACTTACAATGATCTGAAATGTTATATTCTATATGACAAAACAATAAACAATGCACAGAAAAATAAAAATAAAGCCAATACTGTAACTTAGGCTCTTCAGCAAACCAGGACTTAAGAATATTGAGAACCTAACAATCTGTAAATGATACTGAAAAAGCTGCAAGAATTCAGCATAAAAAATAAATATTAAGTCACTTATAAACACCACACACATACAAGTGAAACGTCCTGCATTTTTATTCAGTGCATTATATTTGAATACTCACTTATGCATTGTATGTTAAATGAATATATGCCTTATTAGCAGAATTAATTATTTCCTGACCATGTACTGCATGCTAGGTTTTACAGTTACATGTGGCTTGTGTTCACTGCATGCTTTCTTGGTCCATAACTATCATATTACTAAAGAATTTATAATATAACTGAATGTGATTACAAAACAAAAATTATAAAAATTCTGCCACGATTTGAATATGCTTTGTAACTTTCATGCAAACAGATGCTGAGATTCTGCAAATACTTATGTTACTTTACTTTTTGTAATGGATATATAATTTTATTAAAGCATAAGTGTACAAAATTTTAATCTCAATGACTCTTATATACTTCCAGTTCTTATATTGTTTCAGCTTATGTTACAAAAAGAAGTATTTTATACATTTCACAGTTCTAACATATACACTGAAGTGAATGGAAATAAATGCAGTACAACAAATTCACAGCATACTACCAGAACATATACAGAACAAAGAATGAAGGGAAGTAATTAAGAATACTGATTCAGTAGTGGCATCAACTGTTCTTCTACAAATCATCAATTTTTTGGACTTTTTCAATCGTTATTATGCTTTCTCAAAAGACTACTATGTTTCGAGAGATGGTTTACTGAGGAAGAATGATGACTGAAAACGTCCAAAATATTGAAATTAGCAAAGAAAAATATCTTTCTCTCAATAGGACTGAAAAAGACACATTAAAAATGATTTTGAAGGACTATTTGTTTAAAAAAGTTTCATTGTATCTGACTTTCCACAGAAAATCTGGATTTGGTTCTGATACCCGGCCTAGCATTCACCAAAAATGGTAAGCGTCTCGGACGAGGAAAAGGATATTATGATCGCTTTCTTGCTAAATGCTTCAGAAAATTTAAGACACGTCCATTCACACTGGGTCTTGCATTCAGAGAACAAATTGTATCAGCTATCCCAACAACTGACACAGATGTAATCATTGACCAAGTTCTGTGTATAGACGACTGAGCCACCCACGGTTTCTCCTAAGTGGCTGTACAAATGAGCCTGCCACATATCACACACCTGTTTATATTCAGATTAACAACCATCTAGAACTTGGAGGAAGTGAATGTGAAATGCTGGAACCACAGACTAAATGCAGGCATCACAAATGCATTAGTTAAAATTGTTTCCTTTTCCTGACTGAGGAAGAAAAAGGTGACAATACTTTGAGGTTAAGACCGACAATTTTAATATATTTGAAAACTTTTCATATTTTTAAAGAAAATATATCAGGACTCTGTACAGTGCATACTACCATCAAAAAAAGTGCTGGTTAAAATGAAAATTCACTGTAATGAAACCATATTCTGTCATATCTACTCACATTTATAACCATTACTTAAAGCATTATTCAACTCTATTGCAACATTATCAACACAGAATTATAACTATTACTTAATACTCTATTTGAAACTCCTGCTTATCCACTCCCAATAACCTGTATTCAACTTGCTGTTTGACTCTGCTGCAGCCTGATACACTCACATCAATAAAAATTACCAAAGGACTGCTGCACTCGTCCACATATAATGACAACCTTACTTAACATGCTGTTCAACACTACTACAGCATTATTCATTCAGAGATGAAATGAAAATTGAATACAAATTCATGTCAGTATGAATCACACAGCATTTAACTGTGACAGTTCTTGGCCTTAACATTTTTATGCTCCTATCAAGAATAAATGGTAGCTCTCAGCCAAAGGCAAGCTGTTACTGGCTGGTTTTTGGGGACTTTCTAATATATATCAAGTGGTATGCTTAGTAGAGTTGAGCCTTCACATTATATTATAAGAGTTAGGTATTATGAACAAATCTGTTGAGAAACTCCAAGTTACATCCATCACACTGCAAACTTACACATTCCTGTTACAGACAGTTTTAATCGTTAATTTGCTACAAACACAGCCACTTACTTTCTTTATACTCTCTAATACTTTCTTAATACTGCATTGAAATCAATAAATATCACTGTCATGAACAGGTTCCACTGTGTTTCTTTTGCACTTTATCACAGATACTTCCAGAATATAAGTACTTAAAGAAATAATTTTGTTAAAAATGTGTACATCATACATAATATTCTGAAATAAAGTGGAATGTATAAATCAGTTTTTGACTCATTAATGATAATCACATTCTGGGCTGATGTACATGAACCTGGGATACTGGGAATGACCCGTTCTTCAAGTGCCTGAGCACTGCGGGTCTCAACTTTTTTTTTCGTTGGTTTTGATCCATAGACATTCGGTAGGACTCCTTGGACGAGGGATCGGCCCGTCGCAAGGCCTCTACCTGTACACAGGACAGCACAACACAGAAAAACGCGGACAAACATCCATGGCTTCAGTGGGATTCGAACCCACGGTCCCAGCGACCAAGTGGCACAAGGCTCACGCCTCAGACCGCGCAGCCACCGTGGACCCCTGTACATGAACCTTCCTATTTAAATCCACTTTATCTGCTCTTCATTCTCAATGGAGGACTGACTGCTGTGAACAGCCTCCAGTTCCAGATGAGGTGTGATGGCTGCATATGGTCTGTGAGAGTAGATGGACATCAGGCTAGGGTAATACTGCCTGTAGCACAGGTAAGAAATTGAAACACCCAGCAGTGAGCCACACAAAACATCTGCAACAGTTATTCAGCACATTGTATCAGGCATAAACTAACAACTGTTGTGGGTTTCATAACATGTAAACTTATTTTGCTGCCTTAAACTCATGTATAAAAGGCAGATTATTAAAACTAGTGCACCCTGAAGTAAGAGCAATAACTGGTACTCATACCACAGTGAAATCTCGATGCATCGTTTTTGATGGGGGAGAGAAATAAAAACGATGAATACGGGAAAACGACAGTTGCGGGAAAGCATTAAAATGAGAAAAATTAAAATAGTGCATTTTTCTCTTTTGCATACACAAAATAATACACACAAAACCTGTTTTAAAGTTACTTCTTTTTGCCAAAAAAAGGCTTTAATGGATAAAACAATCATTTTAAATTCTAAAAACATTGCGTAAATTTCGTTATAACTTCTCAGAAACGATCAGTGCGGGGAAACTGTTGGCCAGGACTAAGATTTTTGAACGATTTATGCGATAAAATGACAGTTCTAGGAACGATAGAAGCGAGAAAATGTAACATTATTTTATATGGGACGTATCTGGGATCGAACAAAACAGACGACGCATCCGGGAAAACGATAGTTCGGGGAACGATGCATAGAGGTTTCGCTGTATACATATTTGTAACATACATTACAGGAAGGTCATTTTCCATCATACATAAATGTTTTCATTTAAAAATACATCTATCTTATACCCACTATTCCCTTTGATTAGCAGCATCGCTTGGTTCATTTTACAGAACATTTCTAGGCACATTCACAACAATGCTACAAAAATACATCTAGCTCCTTAGACTGGTCTTCTGGGTTATGACACTGTGTAGTCATCTAGGTGGTTACCAGTTATTTGGAAACTGTCACGTCCATTTTCAAGGTAGAAATAAATAAAGAAGGTATGTAGTTTGGTTATACATACAAGGATAGCCCTCTCTTCCTAGTGTTCTTAATGGCTACTTTCCTCTACATAAGACTCACATGCTTGTTGACACACTTCAATCCAGAAGATAAAGGTGACAGATTCCTCCAAAATGTTGGTACTAACCTACAGATTACACAGAAGACCAAAATCCAATTTTCAGTCATGAAAATTTCAACCATAACATGCTTATAGGCATGTCATGAGAAAAATATGAAGTGTGTATACATAACTAAACATTTTTTCCCAAAATGAATATAATCAAATGTAATAATCTTATTAGTACTGAAAAATGAAGTGTAATTTTAGAAACATTTTAAAACAAAAAATTCCAAGGTTGTAATGAGATTAATGTATCACAGCTCCAGAAATATTGTTCAGTAGCTTCTGAACTAATATTCTTCAATGTACAAAGAAGTCATACTTGCCTTGCCAGTGATGGTGATAGTCACATGTTCGACTTAACGCTACAGCCAACGCAATAGATAAAGGAAGAAGAAAGGCACACAGCCGCCATGACTTGCCTCTACCAACTGAGTTGAAAACATGAAGTTTTCCAGCCAGATAAAATGCAATGAATCCCATACTCACAAATGAAACTGAAAGAGAAAAACTGTTTATGATACAACATTTGAGTCTTGTACATATGTGAACCCAGCCGGAAACAAAATAAATTAACATTTATAATTGTTTCTGTTCTTATACTAAATGTTAAATTATTACTTCAAATGACATATATCAACAAACTACAGCAGATCTCAAACACTTGTTACAAAGAAATGAAAACTTATGAATATATGCACCAAATGTTGTAAATTATGCTGTCTGACATAAATAAAGAGATCAAATTGCATTATTCCAAGTAAAAATTTGGGAGAGACAGGGCATGCACCCAGGATTTGTGGACTGAATAACACAAAAGCATGTTTTCAAAAATCCTATATAAAATAAATTAACTTGTTAGAATTTTATGTTTATATAAAATAATATAATAATATGCCCGAATTTGATTTCCACCTGAAGCACAACATTATCCAGCAATGGTAATTCAAATTACCTTCCTCTACTTACAAAAAATTTGAGGCAAAGATATCAGAATTTCATATTTACTCATTTTTATGTTAACAACTATTAATCAAGCCAAGACAAAGCCCAATGTCCAACACACACAAAATGTACACACAGAAAGATGTTTGGATCACTAAAATAATGATCAGATTCTCTTTTGTAACACCCAAACCTGGTTAATGAGGCACAATAATTTGCTGCTAATGGTCATGAATAATTATAATGAACAAACCACAATAATCTTGGTTATCATATGTGAACTGATACTACAGAAAATTTTTCACCCTACCTTGAAATACCTCTGGAAGTTTCCTCAGACAACACAAACATTATCTACTTACAAGAAGAGTGGCCACTGGGAAAACTCTTGCGTCCTTCTATAACAACAGATTCTTGGCCTGTACACTTCAAGTCTGGGTTCACTTCTCCATCAGGGAAACAACGCCAGAAGAAATCAGGTCTTGGCCGACCTACCAGAACATAATGAAAAAACAGTTCCCAAAAAGCAACATAGTCTTCACAAATTTCTCATGTAGCTCTTGCAGTCCTGTAATTATTTTAGCATTCCTTTGCACAAAGCACAGAACTTAAATGCATAGTGAGGGTAACCATCTGTCTAAACCGATTATTTCATTAACCCATCATACACAACTATAAAACAACAAAACTTGTGAGGGTGCATGTTTCTACAAATTCAGGTTGCTATCTTGAGGCCTTCATGTTATTCTGATGCAACACATCACAGCACATGGTAAATATCACGAAACAAAATTAAGAAATATTTCCGAAAAAGAAAACCATCATTCAAAAAATTACCTATTCCTGATTAACTGAGTCCAACACAGTTAAAAAAGTGACTCTGTATTTTGAATTTCTGGAACACAAAATATTCAAAAACTGCAAGATCTATATAAAACCAATTAAATACAAGGCTCTTTACTTACCAACAATTAATTTCACAATATTTGTGAATACTCCATTTAATGAAAGTCCCAGAGAACAGCCAAGTATTGCTTGGCTAACATCGGTCTTGTCTTTTTGAAGCAAGAATACAAACAGGATTACAGCAGTTGGGGTAACAAATACAAGTGGCTGCAAAGAACACCAATTTATTTTAGCATCATAAACAAAACATTAAAAATGTAACAGAACAACTATATTAAGATGAAAAACATGGTTTCATCTGAACTTGTATATACAGAAGCATGCAGCACTTATAAAGCGGCATTCTGATATCAATGGGGACACAGCCTTGTATATCATTCCTAGCACTTGCTACCAAGACAAAGGTGAACCATGATGTCTTCATTCATCATTGTGTGAATGATTTATTGCTTTATTTAATTTTAACTGTTTTAACATGTGTAAGATACTAAGAGCTGCTGACTGTAGTGGCACACATCTCCACTGCTTCTTGAAGAATTATCTGGCAGGTATTAACTTTGAAATAACTTGTGAACAATGCCAACATCTGTTGACTCCTCTTTGTGTCCATCTGGAGATAAAAAGTTTTCAGAGAAAGAAGTAAAGGTGCATGAAAGATTAAAAGGGAATGTGGGCAGGGGCAAAATAATTATCTGTTCTTGGTTATTTCATAACTTTGCCAGTTACCTATGTTATGTGGCATAAAATATGTTAGGATGATTTGTAAACAAATCAGAAACAGTGTGAAAGGAAGTACCTGTATTATTCGGGCACCTATCTAGAGGAACAGCAAAATAACTACAACTATGATACTCTCTTGAAGCTTCATAACTAGGAAGCAAACTAACCCATTCCCCTTACCCCATGGAAAGCACACTATAACAAACGAAATGGGGTTTTGGGGGTTAGGCCATAATCCCGGTGATTTAAAGTGCCACCCAGTTCTATTTGTTATTATTACCTACCCATAACAAACTCGTAGGAACATAACTGTCACTCCTTGGATTTTTATATAGCCATAGTTCATCCGGTTGAATCTTTCGTGTAAAAGGCGTTGCACCTTCCAGTTCACTGTAATGTAAAATAAATCATCAACTGATGATGATGAAACCATCATTAATATGGTTTAGGGTTACGTATAAAGCTCAATAAAGGCTTACAAAAATGTAATATTAACTTACATGAAGATCAATGCCAGCAGCGCTCTTACTAAAATTTCAATCCATATACTTCCTTCAATATCTCGTACACTTGGCATTTTTATATCAGTAATTTGAAATAATTGACATTAAAATCCAAACACCCATTTTCTGCATCAAGTGTACCGCTTATTGCCGACTACTTGAACTTTAAAATAAAGAAATAAAAAACACTCCAAATCTAGTGCAGATCTGGCAGCATACACAAATTTTCAAATTGATCTCCTTCTTCATCCAAATCAAATAAAAAAGCTACTGAATCACCGAAGGCCTAACAAAACGTCAAACCTCAAAACCATATTCAACAGATCTAACCTGGAAGTAAACGTTTGATGTGTAACAACATATACGACTTTACTGCCATCTATGAACATGGTATGTAAACTACCGCTCTTGTAGAACAATTGAGAAACCAAATAGTGACGGCGTAGCAAGGCCATAAAATGCCTCATACGGTTAACTATATTATAAATACCTTCGGGCACAGTCGAACAGATTTTCGTTAAATTTGGTATAAAAATATTACTTTTTAATTTCCTGCATTGGTAGTAAAGTGCTGAGGTTCACGAAGAGTGGCCTGTTAGTATCATTAATGGCTTAACAGCCTCCACATTGACAAACAGAAAATGTCCCATGCCTTTAGGTTGACAACCAATGAATTAGGCTTGAATTCAGTCCAATTTCTGGCAATGCAATGAATAACAGGCGTTTGCCATCTCCTACAGAAATGTATGATTGTCTTCTATATTTCTTCTATTGTTCAACTTAAACATTTGTAACTACTGTTTGGCATATATTTTATTCTTACTCAAAAAGAGGACGATAGCCTCTCAGTAATATAAAAAAATGCATCTTCAACCGTTGCCATCACATTTAAATGATGGATTACACAAACACAATATTTCATATAAATTTGAGACTTAATTAAAGATAATACACAGAATTACTACCTTCATCCACCACTGTCTATGTTGGTCTTTTGATTTGTGACAATTTTTTAAACTCTTCTGTCAAAAGAGAAGCAGGATTTTTGTAAAGGGAAAGCTGTAATCGTGTTTTTAAACCCTGATGCAGACAGCTATCTTTATGAACCAAATTTTACTTTATTGTGCTTCAGTATCTCAAATATTAACAAAAGCAAATTCAATGAGATCTGTCATTCTGAGAATTTTGCATTTAGGGCACATCTGTCATCAAACTTTTACAGTTTACTACTGAGTTCTACAACTTTGTGTGTCCGTGGTTATAAAACTAGATACAAATGTAATGACAGCCCTACTTTACTCATATACTTAACCATACATGCATTAATAATTTGCCAAAGTAAAATCAGATGTTCTTGGATCAACATTACCTAATGGCAAATGCCACGACATATATCAAGACATAAAAACACAGCTGATTATCGGTAAATTTCAGTGTGATTTCCTACAACCATCAGTAAATTAATAACATTAATATAAAATTAAATATTAGAGGATAACTACAGTCAAGTCTCAGAATCCATACTTTCATTACTGGAATCATCACATCTCTACCATTTCTCATTAAGCAGCTTTCACTTAAATGTTTTTAGAATTATTATGAATGTTGGTATACAACACATAATTTACCCATCTATGCCTATTATATCCTAACATAACAGTACATTCCAAATTAAGAAATTTCAAAATTCTAAAAACTCCCACATACAAAAATGTCTCTCAAGTGAAGGTATTTGTTTTATGCTTGCACATGGCAATATTTGTTACACATTCAAAGTAGTCAATTATTCAAATGTCACAAGTTATAAGTCTTGAGTACATACAGTTTGTCATGCAAAGATATGTCGGACAGAGATTACAAACCTCATTTGTTTTATAACATTGAATTAAGTGTTATCTCTCCATATCAATACATTTTCAAATCATATCTATACAATTTGGGACAACATATTTTATAGTATTACAGTGAAGCTATAGAACATAAATAACCCAATTTAATCAATTCTGAGACTGCAGAGCTTTCCGAGAGGAAGAGCGCTTGGGTTGCTTTATCTTCAAGTCCTGCAGGTCATCCGAACGATGTTTCTTAAGAACACCAGTGTTTGAGTTTTCCTTATTGTCTTTCTGTAAAGGCAAACGGAGAACAGATATTATATTCTTCAAAACAAAGCACTCATGAACAGGCAACTGTCAGATGCACATAAAGTAATGTAATTGGTAATTGTCATCCACAATTATAACATACCAGGGGAACAGCTTGTTGCAAACAATGGACATAATGTCAGTGTTGGTCCCATTAAAAAACCCATTCTTCAGAAAGTCACCCCTCACATTAAATAGGAGAAATTCAACTCAGAATAAAATAATACAGTCCAGTGGTTTTCAGTCTGTAACCCGCAACTTACTACAGCTACTACCTTTATAACTTAGCATATCTTATAAACAGTTCTGATATATTCTATCTCAAATAATGCCCACATGTGAAAGCAACAAAATGGAGGTGCCTGGAACCCACTTATATTTGTGGAGGGGGAAAAAACACAGCTTTGCAGATAATATGTACAGAAGAAAAGTTTAAGTTGTGTTCCTGGCATGAGTAAAGGTGTAGCAGACTGTGACTACAGTTCCTCTCTTGTGTATGTTAGCAGGCTGTCAACAAATGTAGACTCCGCAGAATTGCTAACCTGCTTTAATGAGCTGGGTTCACTATGATGAGAAGCATTAAAAATTGAGTCTTCTGCACTTATATCAGTAACAGACACTGATCTAAATGGAACATCTTTCAGAGACTCCATGTCTGATCCACCTTCATCACTATTGGCACTGGAGGAACCAGACGGAGAGCTCACAACCTGTAAAACAGTTACATGGAGTAATGAAATTTATGGATTTAAAATTTCATGCCATTTTAAAACTTTGCATACCATGTAGTGTATTAGAATATAAAAATAAGCACACAAACTGTTTACACTATAAATGACACTAGTGCCAAACGTGTTTCAACCTCAAGAGGTCATCAGTGGCAAAAATATAATCTCAAAATAAAGTCATAAACATTCTCCTGTTAATAAAATACTGTAATACATACAAATTCATATCATGAGGCTTCTTCAGGTAGTGTTTTTGTGTTAAGAATTTCTTTCATTAATAATTACAAACAGAATTCTCTTTCACTGATTTTTATCTTAATCAGAATCTAGTGGCTCATCATTCTATCCAAACTCACTTCGGGAATATGCAAGTGAGGCATCACGTCACCATTCATTTCACGGAACCTCGCAAGAATCCGCTCATGTGGAGATGTTGCTGCCAGAACTCTTGGGTATGAAAACTCTCTGCGTTGTGGTGTATTTCCTGTAACACAATAAAATCAGCGTGAAAATACCGGAAAACCTCTAAAAATCAAAATCAAAGCCTGTGTCCTGTCTCTGACCAAGATTAACTATTAAACTTTAACTATGAGCACATCAATTGTAAAGTGTTTCTTGAATTGTCTTGTACTAACACAAATTTCAGAGTGAAAATGGAAATTATATCAAAACTGATCAACATGGAATATATATGAAGTTCTGCTCACTCCAGCAATACCAGTTTCTCTCTCAGGGAAGAGAAACTACATTCTTACAGCAGATAAATTAAACAAGTAACATTTTGTTATAATATGTATGCTATGATAAACTTTAATGTGGGATGCCTGGAATATTTACTTGCAAGCATACTTTATAATACTTGAAAAGGTCAACTGTTACTACAGAGCTTAAAATATATATAATACTGGTATATTATTAGTTTTAAAATGGGCCTATAAATGTATGAAAACAGCAAAAGTACCATATTCTCCAGTGCACAACACTACGAGTTTACGATGGAGAAACTGATAACCTTTTCTAAACCATGCTCTTGATGTCTTGTTTAGCAAACAAATATTTAGCACTTATTAATCTATTACAAGACAATTCATAACAGTTCCATTTTATAATGAACAAAGTAATATGAAATATAGGTACGTATGTTTCAAAGCACTGTTCAAGGTAACATGGAAAACATATAAAGGAAAACACCCATATGGGAAGAAACTTCCAACTTATTTCAGTTTTTCCTTTCACTGCAACCATCAGAAAATTTGATGGATGTTATTTATTTAATTTTCTTTGTTACTTCCCAAAGTATAAGACACACCACTGAGACTTTTCAGAAATTTGGAGAGGGCAAAGTGGCAGGAAATACAGGTAACTTAGTATTCCAACACAACATACAACCAAAATAAATTATAAACTTTCATTTTTAAAACAATATGCCATGTTCTCGGAAGTTTACATTTCATATATATTTAACATAAAACACGCATGATCATGTGACTTGCACACATCACCTGTTGGAATATCCTTCCGCAGCTCTTCAACCAAAAATTTGTCCAAATCCTGACTGCACTGCTGCAGATCTGAGGTGATAGTCTGACTCCAGCCATTAATATAGGAACACTGAGTTTCAAGATCATCCTGACGCTCACGAACAAATGTACCAAAATCCACTTGTTGCTGCTCCAAAATAGCTTCATGAGACTCTGCAGATTCTCTGAGCCCACTTATAAGAGTCTGTAAACATTAATATATTAATATTACTGAGATAACTGTTTGCTCATAAACACAGAATTTGATCACTTTGAACAATCATAAGCATCCTACATAACATACAATGGAATATAGCATACCTGAGTCTGTTTAAGCTCATTTTGAAATTCTCCATTCAAGTTTTCTGAATACTTCCTCAGTTCCTGTTCCGTCCAACTGTAGTGGTTCCTCCAAGCCTGCTCTCCATTTGAAACAGCCAAACGGACACTGGTTTCTACATCTTCTTCCAGCCGTTTTGCTGCAGATATCAGTTGTTCAGACTAAAATCAATTGCATCCAAAATAAATAACTTAAGATACGAGATTAAAACGTTTTGGGACTGAATTTCCTGTATGGAAATTAAGTGCATGGCAATATGACATACCTTGCAACTCATGCCAACATCACCCATCTGGCATAAAGCTGCCATTTTGTCTCACTAGTAAGACAAATTCTGTTGTTTTACAGATCTGTTCACTAAATGTGTTGCTTTGTAAAACTGCTGATATAAAGAAGCAATGTGGGTTAAATTCCAGGTAAAACTCTGGATTACAGCCAAGGAAACACAAAATGCTAGTAAATGCACTCTGGAATAAAACTTGTAGCTGTTTGAAAACACAGGTGGCCAAAGCATTTGGAAAGATATTACACTTCCAGCTGTCCACATACATCTATAGTGTCATAATATAAAAAGTTAATTTGAGGTACACCAAATTATCTTTACTGTTACCACTACAACTGTACACTTTGCATCTACTAATGAACAAATTTCAGTAACAGTTACTAACAAGTAGCAGTAAAACAGAAGAATTACCGAACAGTTTGTTGTATCTTATAACAAGTTAACCTACATAAAAGTTGTACTTACAACTTCTCTGGAGTTGCTGACAGTGTCAAGCAGTTCTTCTGTCTGCGTTTCATAAGCACTGAGATGCTCAATTCTTCTTGCCATGTGCAAGTCCAGCGTAGATGCTGCCTCCTGAGACAAGTGGTCACATTTCTCTCGAACAACAGCCAAGCCACCACTGATCTTATTCTTATTGTCATTGTACTGGTTCTCAAAATCTACATGGATGCCCAAAATACGATCTGCCCAGCTTTTCAATTGTTGAACCTCTGATAAGAAAGTCTATTAAAAGAAAAGTAAATGAAATTAAAGTTGAAGAAGTGTAAAATCCAATGCACAAACACTCCTGTATGCAACATCTATGAGAATATTCTACTCTCAATCAGACTTTGCCAACATTCTCAGAAAATGAACATGCAACAAAATGTATTAGCAAGATAAACAATGTATAACTCATTATGATTTATAACTTTCACTAGAAACATTTCATTGTGGTGAATATTCAATAAAAAATTAATTTGTGGTCTGCCTTTATGACTAGTATAAAATCAGTATCATCCATTCCCTATATCTTTCACTGCTCCCAGTTACACAAGTTATCCTTAATACTCTATCTTCAAAAATGTACACACTTCACTGTACAAATATAAATGTGAACCAGAAGTATTGAGAAATTAGTTTACCTGTTTGAACCCATTCATGGACTTATCCACGCCACGGTATCCTTCCTGTGCGCTCTCCAGTGCCTGCTGCTGTTGCTTAGTATACTGGAACAGGCTGTCTCGAAGTTTTAACAAGCCATCAGTTTGTGCAGTTTCAAAGGTCTTCATAGCATCTAGTTTCTGCTGTAGCTGTCAAAAGTAGTACTGTATTATATTTTAATTTTGAACATAGCTGCCACTGCAAAATATTGCATATCAACAAACTTTTGGCAATTATTGCATCAAATTTAATTTTGAATCTTAAACAATAAGTCAAGATATTTGGCTTTCTACAGAATCTGACAGCTTTTGGGAATTACATTTGCATGCCAATTACCCTCACATTTTATATGTAGTTGTTGGAATTTATCACTATCACATCTTTCAAGAAAGACCACATACTTTGGGTAACTATACATTAAAATTCCTCTTTATTTCTTGCCATACCTGATTAACAATCATGTGATTAAATGCCTGATTTTCAGCCTCCTGGAGCTGAAGCTGATGAGCCAAATTCTGCATTGGAACAAGAAATGTTTCTGTCAAGAACTTGTGAAGATTATTAACCTCACTGTCAGAAGTAGAATGCACAGCAGAGAGATATTCCTGGATCCACTGTTGGCCATTATACACCTGCAGACAGAGAACAAATAATGTGAATCTTTCACAATGCAAATGGCAGCATTCTGATACTCCCATAACTGTTAAATATTTATAAAGAGTCACCACTATGACATTTAAATTTGTTACCAAAACTTCAATACACTGATTAGGAGTACAAACATTGAAGACAGATTAATATTACTGTTTTGTTATCATCTATGTACAAACAAGTCCACCCATTAGACAGATCAGATAACTTATATGGCATTACCTGGTCAGATGTCATCTTCTCCAAATCCTGAATTTGAAGAGTTTGACTGGCTACCAGAGAAGAAATTTCATTGCTGAGAGATGCTAACTCATTGCCTCTCTTCTCAAGTTGTTCTCCTGTTTCATAAAACATCACATAGCAAGGATGAATGTCTTCAAGAACTACATACACAATTAACTCCAACATTTAAAGTGAAACGCAGTAAAGATGATAACATAACAAATAAGACAAAATAAACTAAAAAGTTCAAATTGTGTATGTAAAAACAAAATGTTCTGGGCAGAACTTTACACTTATTTTTCTTTGCAATCTTCAATCTAATAAGAAATAAACCTAATAATTATACATGTAATGATCAATTTATGGACACAGTTTCAACTAGTACAGAATCACAGAATAAGCTACGGTAGCTCAGCCAGTATAGTGCCTAACTGCAGACTGGATGACCAGAATTCAATCCTTGGTAGGGGCAAAATATTTTTCTTCTAGCATCTGGATCCAGTCAAACTCTGGGGCTCACTCAGCTTCCTACTTGATGGGTGCCAGGGGTCTTTACTCTAGGGGTAAAGCACAACCAGAATGTGATGCCCCCATCTGGTGTCAAGATCAAGAATGAGTAGCAGCTATACCTCCTCTCTCCCCAAGTGCCTTCATGGTGTAGTGGGGCAGCTTCACTTTACTTTTTAGATTCCTATTATATTAAATTTGTCAGATAGAGCCTCCAGAGTTGCCATGTATGTAACTGTTAACTTACAAAAAATATTTCATACAAAATTTTTAGGTATGTTTATGACCTATCTCCACATAAAACTTCACATGTCTACTTCCAGTAGGCCATCCAAACAAAAAAGCTAAGTCTAGATTTTGCATGGCTGCCATCATGTTTTACATTCTCACATTAGATGTTAGAATGACCACCATGGTGGTATTACTGATGGCAAAATATTAAAGCATATAAGATGCTAGCCTTAGTGACTGAAACCAAAATTGATGTTACAAGGGCATTACTTGTTTTCTACTAGAAACGTCTGCCTATATTTTGTTTTGTACATACCCAAGTTTGTTTGCAATCCAGAACAAAACTTGGTTAAATCTTGAATGAATTGATTCAGACTGTCCTCCATGTAAGCCACGTTTTGCACAAAAGCTAGGTGAAATTCTCGACTAATTTCTTGATTGACACCTTCTACAGACCTGCAAACAGAAAGGTGTGGAGTATTTCATTAAAATTCTTACAGCAAATTACTATGCTGCCATGTACCAAACAGAAATCTGCAGTGACAATTCCAGTAAGCTCCTTATAAAAATATCCAAACCTTAATCTGCTGTGCCAAAGTACGAGCACACATTGTAAATCAAAGAACAAATAGCATGTTTAAAAATATGAGTATGCAATGTTGATGTTGGTCTACTGCCTCCATCTTCAGTGTTGAATATGGAGGCAGCATGTTCCTCCAAAAGTGTTGGTGGCTACCTACAAGTCCACACTGTATTAAAACTTAGAAGACCACCATTGACATCACCACCATGAGAACAGCACATGTCATAAAAGAGCTTGTGTAAAGAAAGAATGATGAATTTCCTATCTACTTCTGATCTACTCTGTTGACAATCAGGCAGTAGAAATGAAGGAAGCAAAATTTTTGCAATTAGATTTATTGAGTCAGTTTCTTACCTCTTTCGTGCAAGTTTGTCATGAAGCTTCTCAACATCAGATGACGCCATGTCTGCGGCTGCAAGTAGAGACTGAGCCTGAGTAGAAAGTGTACTTTCTGTGTGCACATGCTTCTCAATTAAATGTTCCTTCTCTGTACACATATTTAAAGTGTCACGGAGCTTCACTGATGTGTCATTTAACTTATCCTGTGTCACTTCCAGCTCACTGGATGTTGTTGCCAGTTTCTGGTTGCAACTGTCCAAGGATATATTCAGTTCAGCACACAAGCTCTGAAATCACAAAGATCCTATGGTGTAAGAGACATGCAAAGTATAAGTAAAACAGACAATGTGATTTTCTTTAAAAACTAAAAAGGAATCTTGCAGATGTAACTGCACACATCATCTCAAGTATAAGACATAAAGGCCTTCACCTCCCTTTAATAATACTATAATAAAAAAATAATAATGAATTTGGTTTATGCATCCATAAACACAAGCATCAACATTTTTATTTTTAGTTTCTACATGGCATATCTGGCTAGTTTGAACAACAAATGAATTTCCAATATATCACATTTACTAATTTACTTTCTATATCCCTATTTCTTAAAATACTGTGGGGAAGTGTTTGAAATTCAATTACTACAGAATGGACAAATGTGACCGAAGTCCAATACAGTACTACTACAACTCAGCACTGTGTCTTAACTTGCCTCTTTCTTATCTAACTCTTCTTTCAGAGCTTTCATATGCCCCAACATCTGACTTATCTCTTGCTCCTGGTGTTCCAACTGCATGATCATCTGTGTGTAGTTGTCAGATGCCATGTATACACCATTTTTATCTCGAGTTGCTGCCAGATCCCTGCGCAGCCGCTCAATTTCAGCAGTGTACTCCTGTGACAATAAAATCATGACAACACACCTAGAGACAAGATGAAAGTAACTCTCACACATACAACAAAACAAAACACACATTGCCTATCTTGAGTAAAATATCTTCTTTCTTTCTTTATCTCTCTCTCTCTCTCTTTTTTGTGTGTACAGCACAAATTTCCATGGGGTAGCTCAGTCAGTATAGTGACTGGCTACATACTGAACGACTGGGGCTCAATCCCTGACAGGGGCAGAGAATTTATCCTCTGGCCTCTGCAGCCAGACTAGCCCTGGGGCCCACCCAGCCTCCTATTTGGGGTCCTTTCCAGGTGGTAAAGCGAGGCCAGGGTGTGATGCTGGCCACTCACCCTCATCTAGTGCCAAGGTTAAGAATGAGTAGGAGTTTCACCACCTATCCCCCCAAGTGCCTACATGGTGTATAATGGGACACCATAACTTTTACTTTACAAACTATCGTCCGAATAAAACCAGAATGCACTTGTCAGTACACAACAAGCATTATACAAGCAAAATTGAAGCTGTCCCATTATATGCCATGGAGGAATTTTTGGGGAGGAGAGGCATAGTCCGTACTCGTTCTTGACTTTGGCACTATATGGAGGTGAGTGGGCAGCATCACTTTCCCCCAACAAAAGGGACCCAGGTACCCACTGGATGAGAAGCTGGGTGGGCCCCAGAGCTGATCTGAATGCAGAAACTAGAAGAAAAATCCCTTAACCCTGCCAGGGCAAAGGATAATTACATTTCCAAATACTTTACAGCATCACATCCAGTTGTGCATGGATGCCAGTAACAACCATTTTCAGCACCTGATGTGACAATTGCAGTTTTATAAGGACTGCGGTGTAGACCTACATCTGATCACCACTGGTGGTTTTATTTCTGAAAGCCTGAAGCCTCTACAAGAGGATCACTTTTTAAAAGATAGATCCGTGTTCCAGAAAACTGTTCATAAATCAGGTGTGACTTTAAAATTCAATGCCACATTCCACGTACCAGGCAGATACTGGCACAGTACAGTGGGACATAATTAGACACGTTACACCTAGAAAACCATTACATAACTGGGAGAAAGCTCATCTCTATTCATACATAATTAATCCAAAATAAGGAAGGGCAGCTCAGAAGAAAATGTTCAGCACTAAAAACATGACGCAAAACGCAGAGGTGGGCTAGCACATTGATTATTGCTCCTTCCCTTGAAAGGTTTTTAATTCAGTCTGAGGTGAAAATAAATAAAGATGCTTTGTGAGTTGATGCTTTCATGGTGGGGGAAATATAGACCAGGGCGATCATCGCCCTGATGACGGAGGCAGTATGACCTCTGAAACGTAGGTAAACATCGACCAGACTACACAGCGCAACAACCCAGAAGACAGCAAAACGTCCATACCAAGTTTTTTGAAAATCGATCATTTAGTTCGAAAGTTCCTTATCTTAACAAAATAAAGTTGGCAAAAAAGGAAATTTGGGGAGGGGGCTGTCCTTCAAATTCGGTCATTTTCCTTGTTGGTAACCGACGATGGGCGTGGAGCACAAACAAAGAGATCAACACACGGTTAAGAAAACGCGTGGGATTAATTGGATCATATAAAACCGAAATTGTGTCGTGTTCCAACCCACATTCATACTTGTCTCATTCAAGAACACGTGAAAGTAGGAGGACAGTTTTGTCTTTTGATTGTACGCATTCCAGAAACTAGTTTCAGCCAGATACACACTGGTTTTATTAACTATTTATTTCCGGTCCATAAAAGCTAAAACCACGCCAAGCGTATGGAAAACAGAAAACAAAATTTGTGATTCAACCGACAAAATTTATTTATTGTAATTTCTGATAAAGAGGACGAAGTGACGTGTTGTCACTCCAAAAATCTGAAAGTGATATCCTTTTATTTTTAATTGATAAATACAGCATCTATATGTTGAGCTCTAAACTAGTATTTCAACCAACCTACAATTGTGCGTTCCATAACTCAGACACTTTCAAACTAAATTTCCAGAGCTGGCAAATGTTGACGAAGTACTTTCAACCATAAACATGAAAACTTAAATGCCCCCTTAGCGCAGAGTGCATAAACTCAACTTAATGGGAAGGTCGTGTCTGTTTATCCATTAGCACGTTTCATCTCCGAAACTGCTTATCGAATTTCAGTTAAACTGAGTATGATGGGGTTCTACCTTAAAATATGCCAAGCGCATTTAATTTTAATTAGTATCTACCAAATATGAAGCCTTTGCATGCAGCTCAAATTCGAATTTATCGATTTCTTGGGATCGGCTCATCACAAAACTCTAATGAAGACCTACCTAATACAGAGTGTTTCATTTCAAATGCAACCATAATTACAACACACGAACCCCTTGGCGCATAAAACGACGAAACCAAAGCAGCCATGTCCCGTTATTGTAGCTCATACTGTTTTAAATCGGCACGACCTTAATTTCAGACGTTCTGTCGCTCTTTAAGTATTTGTCACAAACCCTTCAGTGCCCGAAAACTTCATTACAGTCGGTGTATTGTTGTCTTATTCTGCACTTCTTTGTCAGGATAGTCAGTGCTAAATATCCACGAACAGCAGCAAACGACTTCGATGCGAAATCATTCTCGAGAATGAACACACGTTCCGCTTGCGAATACGCCATGTTCGCAATTGCACAGCTTTTGCGCAACTGGTGTGAGAAGCGGCCTAGCAACAATGGTGACCTTGTTGAATGTTATGGGGGAAGGTTAAGAGAGTCCTTTACACGAGAGTGGACCTGCTTCTGATTATGTACCGCCGTACGGATTGTTGTTGGGTTGCATTTTAAATGGCACACCCTGTACAGAACACAGAGTTAATTAAACTTTTTAACTTTCCTTTTAACTATTTTCGATAAGACAAAAAAAGTCTTATTGTACTCGCCGAAGAGAGATAATTAATCACTCCACTCCTGATTGGCTGTCAACGGATATCGCATTTTGGAGTCAACTTTAGAGCTATACCTCCAGAATGCAGTAGAGTGATCGGCACAGAATTTTATCTTCGCCACCCCCGTATCCCAAATTGCCCTCGTACCCACCTAACATAACTAATCGGTATTCGGTTCTCTTTATCCGGGTTAAAGCAAAGCTGCCGGAGAGAAGTTAACCACTCGCTTGCATCTTGTGCCCAGATTAAGAATGTGTAAAACTTTACCTCCACCCCCATGCGTGGTACTTAAACATATATTCAACATTAATACGGTAATGAACGAATTCCATGAAAGGCGGGCCAATTTCATGACTAGCCCACACTGATTTCATTAAAAGTAATTAAGTAGAGTGAAGTGTTAACCGCAGCTACTAGCAACATTGAATTCAACCTGTAACGTCTTAAACTTCGGAACCACAAATTTGTACTTTCTGTTTTCCTAGGAGGATTGCGGAGGTGTATTAAAGTGTGACTGAAAACGAAATGTACGCCGCAAACAGTGTCATCGAGGAAATGCCAATATTATGGGTGGTAGACCTTTACACCCAATATTGACATTTCATCTTTCGATTTAACAGAAAGAAGGCGACGTCAAAGTAGCGAGACTAGAAGACGAGAGAAATAGTTGGTAGCCTTGACCTTTCCCCATACGGCAGGGCATCTCCACACAGGCGTGCCTCAGACAGAGCAACCCACTGACCGACCCAGCAAGCTCTTACCGCGTCTTCATGTTGCCACGTGAATCCTTACCGAGCTGAGGCGACAGATCATGAACACACAAGCCCGAAGTAGGATTGTTGGTTGCCGGGCCCGGGACTTAACCACTGACTTCCGAATTCCAAACTGCAATGCTGACTACTCCACGGCTTTCAAAATACTCTCCAGACGTAAACTATTTAGTTCTAACGCTCCATGATGAGGATACAAAGGATCCAATCATGCAAAATGGCTGGCGTAACACAGTAGTGGTAGTTATTATCAAAGAAACGTGCTGAACATGAATGCAAAAGACAATTTTTATTTAGCTATCAATCACTAGACCACAGCTCTGATGACGGAAGCAACAAACACCTCTGAAACGTCGGTAAACTTGTACCTTATTCCACGGCGCAAAAACCCGTAAGACAGCCATGAGAACCTCAAGACTCACTAAATACAGAACGATTGACGATATTACACAATTAAACATATCGCAGGGTTCATTTTTATTTATTCTTCTCTTATCACATGTTTTTCCTTCTCTTCTTTAACCAATGGTGAACCAAATCAAGGCTTCAAGTTTCAGAATGGAGCACTTTCCGAAAATGTGCAATGTTCCCGGAAAGGCTATATTTCACAAAAATGTTCCCTTTGTATTTTCCATATACTTTTTAGCCCTTCAGTTAAATTCCCCTAGCCACAATGACAAGGCATTTCATATTCCACATTCGCTGAATTCCAATGCTTATATATTTGTATTTTAATTTATTTTCAGGCTCGTTCTGTATTACATTACTATCCGATCGTACTGCTGCATCTATCAGTAAACAGATTTCAGAGTACTGTTACAACTTCAATGTTCAGCCTTAGCATGAATATCAGTTTTCTGTTATTTCAGATCGTAACATCAATTAATGAACCATAACTCACTGCAGAGAGACTGGTAAAATTATATTTTAAACTCATTTCACAATTAAGGATATCATCATCAACAAAGTGTTGATTACGTTAACCATGATACTGTGGCTAAAAGTTTTCGTGGAAGTTCTGTTAAAGAACTTTACGTTCGTTATCTCGAAAAGGACATGCCACATGAAGAAAACAATTCGTATATAAACTTTTTATAAAGTATATCTAGAAACTAAGCTAGTTCAGCATGTTAAGTCGTATCTCGAGTTGTCTAATCTATCCGATCGCAGTAACAAATCTACCAAAAGCTGACTTAACCAATGAAATCGTTTCGAAACATGTCATTCATATCACGTTCCTTGATTACGTCCACATGTATTTATGTAAAGACATCATCAAGGAAACCACAAGGATACAATGCTGTCCTTCAAGACACCA